GATCAATTATTGTGTTCAAATATGCTAGCAATCGCGTTTGTTTAGATTAGCGAATATTCTGCAATCCGTCAAATAATCGAATAGTCTAATAACTCGAAACCAAAATTTTGAAAAATCGAATATTCGGATTATGCAAAAAAAGAGGAAATTTCAAATTACTGAGTTTGCGAATCATTCGGAAAAAGAAAATTTTGAATAGTCGAATTAGTTTTATTCGAATGGTCGAATAATCATTCTATTCAGAGTAACGTAAGCTAGACAGTACCACTAACAGGCAAACAATCGAGCTAGGTTCGCAATGTCAAACCTTAAAAATTACATTGAACGCTCAGAATACAGAAAAGCGGAACAACGACTAGCAGTTTACCTCAAATTTTTCCCACAAAGAACTTTCTCAATTCGCTTTTTCTCATAAAATTCTTCCATATTAAAATAAGGACAGAATATCTGATTAATAGATAAGGTTTTCCATTTTGAGAGGTACACACAGGATGCCGCAAAAAATGTGTCCGCTGCTCACTGTTAACTTCCTTTTATGGTAGTAATCCCCCCAAATTTGTCGCAACAAGAACGAACCAGGCTCGTGACAACTCCAATCATGGCATGAGCTAGTTACGAACGTGGTTTGAAGTTTTTCAGATTTGAAGATAGACGCAAACTTGCACCCCGCCCTGTCATCGAACCTGCGTTGAACGAAAGTCAGCGGCGCTCAATACCGCTGCCTTAATAGTACAAGAGATGTTACAGCGCAAACATGAAAGCAATACACATCTTTGCAGGAGATGAATTGTTCGAGCCACACTGAATAAAACAAGGGCTACGAAGTGGAGTACTGGAGATCCCAAATGATAAGAGATTTGCACCATCGATTCTTTTGTGATGCATTGGCTTAACCAAGCGTGTTTACTTTCTTTTCGATTCATGACATTTCAATTGAGGTTTTGACTTATTACTTGATCTCATTCTTATCTCCACCAATCTTTCTCCTTCCTCGTTTTCCGGTCTCTCTCGTAACGCCTCTTTTAAAAACCTCACCATCTCTTCTAGAAAAGATTTCCATGCAAAAAACACCTCGTTGTAAAAGGAAGAATGACTTTTTTCTGCGTATTTTATCAAAGGGAGGTTAAAAATTAATTGTTTAGCTGAAAATATACGATTCTTTGATCTACCGCGGCATCAATCCGTTAGTGATTCATTCGTTTGCAGCACGCGTCAGGATGTGAAGAATCAAACAAAATATGGCTTAGAACCAGAACATATCAATCGCTGTACATTATTCATCTTCAAATAAACTTAGTCACGCATAAATTGCAAAAAGCACTAAAAATTTAGGCTAAAAAAACAAAATTTTTCGGCCAAGACCCTAGATACAATTATATGTTCTAAAGAACTTGAGATCGAGCAAAAACAACGTCGAGAAAGTGCAGAAAAAAAACTCGAAAAATGGCGGATAGTTCCCGTTCCTTCAGCTAATAAAATGCGCGTCATTAATGCGTAGTCCGTGATATAATTGCCTATGTAGAATGTTATAGCCATGGCGGCTCGAGCTTATGAACT